CATTAGCCTTCGCCGCCTTTCGCTAAGATGCTCCAGCTACGCAAGCAAGTTGTGCGCCGCGCGCTGCAGACGCGTGCCATCGAGTGGACCGCCATCTCGCAGAAGCTGACTGACCCGCGTGCCCGCGCTGCCCTGGACAGCCTCCGTGACGTGCACGGTCAGGTCGCCGCCGAGGCCCGTAACTACGTGAAGGAGCCTGAGGCGATCGACTTCGATTACTACCGCTCGGTCATCAAGAACAAGGAGCTGGTGGACGCCATGGAGGCTAACTACAAGAGCATCTCCTTCCCGACCATCACTCCCGAGGAGCTGGACGCCTCTGCCAAGTCGGCTGACCTTCCGGAGGAGCTGCGTTTGAACGAGCAGGAGACGGTCGACAAGCTCGTACGTTGGGCTACAAAAAATGGTATTGCAATTATAGCTGATACTGACTATTTAATTATGTTATATATGGGCTGAGTACAGTTCGCCCAGCTGAACGAGAAGGTGACGGACTCGAAGGCCCGCATTGAGGAGCTCAAGGAGCTCATCGGTTTGATGGAGGAGACCCGCACGACGCTGGCCACGACTATGGATGAGGTGACGGCCATGTACCCGGAGGTGGAGGAGGAGATCGACGACGAAATCGCCAACCTCGACTGGGAGAAGGACACGCAGTAAGATGCTGTCATCTAAAGACAGAAAAAAATCTTGGACGCTGCAGCTTTCTACAAGAATACAGATGCAAAGTGGACGAGGGAGGCTTGATCAAGCAGGCGAGCAAGTGAGCACGTACAGCACAAATCGATCTCTCCTCGTGGCTGGTGTATCCTCTTTAATTGCCAACTCTTCCAAACACGCAAATTGAAGTGGGTTTGCATGTGCCTCGCTCGCCGACTCATCCGTTTTTCACGTTAATTCAGTGGTGTCTGCAACTCGTAACAGGATGATACAACTATTTCAAAGCACAGCCCCCAACACCTTGATTCCAATTATTGCTGGTGTTTTAGGCCATTCTTTTAGTTACTCGCGCGTGCGGTAGGCTTCCGGTACGCGGAATAGCTCCTTGGGGTTCTTGGCTATCTCAGTGTCCACACAAGCGTTGTAGGCTAGCAGCGCGTCTTTGCACTTCTCGAGCGCCACATTGCCCACCTCGGTGTTGGACTCGCCCTTGGGCTGCTTGCCGTGCTCGTAGAAACACCCGAAGAACTTGGTCGCCACCTTCTCACAGGGCTTAGGCACTCGCGGGAAGTTGTCGCTCACGCGCAGCTCAGTCGTATCCGCCATTATCGTCTACAGGTCAGCGCGTATTGAGGTCTTGGAAATTGTAGGGTGGAGATTTGAGTTTGAGTAATCGGCGATGATACAAATTTTAAGTACAGTGAAAACGCTGATGAGTACATCGGCAAGAGCGAGATGAAGTGAAGTGAAGTACGAATTGCAAGTCTGGTTTGGGTCAAGGTCAAACAAAAATCTC